GTTCTGTTCTCTTCTGTTCTGTTCTACTCTACTCTACTCTACATTCTGTTCTGTTCTCTTCTGTTCTGTTCTACTCTACTCTACTCTACATTCTGTTCTGTTCTCTTCTGTTCTGTTCTACTCTACTCTACTCTACATTCTGTTCTGTTCTCTTCTGTTCTGTTCTACTCTACTCTACTCTACATTCTGTTCTGTTCTCTTCTGTTCTACTCTACTCCACTCCACTCCACTCCACTCCACTCCACTCTACCCTACTATTATGTTATTCTAGTCTATTCTGCTCATTCCATTCCTTAGCCTAGTCTAGTCTAATCTAGTCTATTTTCTTGATGTTTTTTTGTTCTCTACTCTGCTCATAAGCTACGCTTGTACTGTATTGTTTTCAGGGGAAGCAATAGACTTCATGGTCCAGCATGCCATTTCCGAAGCCAACGGAGGACGACCCAATGCATCCAAAACGGCTGTGATCATTGTGGCAGACACCTCAAAAGATGCTGTGGAAGCGGCTGTGAATTCTGCCAGAGCCAATAGTAAATTTGTTATTTTACCATTACTTTTACAGGGCAATGATATTTCGGAAACATGCCTCCAGCTTGTGGGATGTTAAGCGTGCCTGTTCTTTTGTTACTGAAGTATATTTGCCCTGCTTTATACATAGTTGGAAGTCCCAGATGTCCATACAGGTAGTCCTTGACTTACAACCATAACTGAACCCAAAGTTTCTGTTGCTAAGCGAGACAGAGGTTAAGGGAGTTTCCCCCCCATTTTATGACCTTTTTTGGCCCCAGTCTTTTAAGTTAGTAACAAGGCTGTTAAGTGAATCTGGCTTCCCCTGTTGACTTTGCTTGTTAGAAGGTCGCAAAAGGGGAACTCACATGACCCCGGGACACTGCAACTGTCATAAATACGAGACAATTACCAAGCGCCTGAATTTTGATCACATGACAGTAGAGATGCTGCAACAGTCATAAGTGTGGAAAATGGTCATAAGTCACTTTTTCAGTGCTGTTGTTACTTCGAATGCCCACTAAAGGAACGATTGTAAGTCCAGGACTGCCTGTATACTTGTCTGTGCTCCTGAGTTAGTGGTGGGTTTCAAAAATTGTTTGAACCTACTCTGTGGGTGTGGCCTCCTTTGTGGGAGTGGCTTGCCGCCCATGTGACCGGAGGTAATCAGAGGTTTTCAAAGCAGTTTGAAACAAAAGGAAAATGTGATGATTTTCCTTGTTAAAAATCCTATCTGATGATCTGGCTGACCAGCTTGGGAATTCCATCATCTTTTTCTAGTTGCGGACATTAAAACACACTCAGTTTTTAAAAAAATGTAGTTTATAACTACTGGCTGAACAAAAATGGATTTGGATTTTATTGGTCTTGCATGCCGCCCATTCCCGAAGGACTCCAGGCGGCTTACAATAAAAGAGGGAAGGGGGATAAATAAGACAATACGAAATATAAAATACCACAACATTCACAGTTAAAGTGGGGCTGGATACTTCAACAGCCCCAGGCCTGCCAGAACAGCCAGGACTTAATAGCATTACGGAAGGCCGGGAGTGTAGTAAGGGTCCGGATCTCAGCGGGGAGATCGTTCCAGAGGGCTGGAGCTGCATCAGAGAAGGCTCTCCCCAGGGGGTCGCCAGCTGGCATTGGCTGGCAGTTGGAATCCAGAGAAGGCCTAGTCTGTGCGATCGAGTCGGTCTTTGGGAGGTAATTGGCAGGAGGCGGTCTCTCAGGTACCCAGGTCCAATGCCATGCAGGGCTTTAAAAGTAACGACTAGCACCTTGAAGCGTGTCCGGAGACCAATGGGCAGCCAGTGCAGCTCGCGGAGGATAGGTGCAATGTGAGTGTACCTAGGTGCACCCACAATCACTCGCGTGGCTGTGTTCTGGACTAACTGAAGTCTTCGAACACTCTTCAAGGGCAGCCCAAAGTTGATAGCGTATTGAAAAAAAAACTGTATTGGCCCATACACCAGACCGAATTCAGGGGTCAGCAATCCATGGCTCTGGAGCCGCATGTGGTTCTTTCCTCCCTCTGCTGCAGCTCCCAGTCGTCAGTCGGCTCCACAATTGATAGGGCTTTCAGTTAGGATAGGTGGAGGAAAAAGGCTGCCATGCTAGGAGGAGACTCTATGTTGGGGGGGGGGGAAGAGGACTTCCGGGTGTTCCAGAATTGAATGGGGGGCTTCGGGTTAGGACTTTTGTGGCTCTTTGAGTGTTTAAGGTGGCCGACTCCTGACAATCAAGGTTCTTGATTGTGCAAATCTTTTTAGGCAACTGACAGTGTTCAATCCACACTGATTACGTATCAATTTAGGATTCTTTTAATGACATGAATTCATTGTAAAATGAGAATAGGATCTTTACAGTAAAATAGTGGGGGTTTTCGTCAATCTTCTGAGTATATATAGTATGTCGTGATTCTTTTCTGGTGAGCAGGGGGACAAGTCTTGGGCTGAAAACAAACAGAGAATGGAAATAATTATCATTATTATTATGCCAAAACTGATTTTAACCAACATTATATATTTTTTGAATGCTTGTATTGAAGTTCAAATTGAATTAAGGAGGATTTCAATCTCTCCTGCTTTTCCCAGGAGTTTCACTGCTTCCCATTGGCGTTGGCACCAAATATAATGCGGAACAATTGAAAGCTTTAGTGGGGCCATCTGCTAAAGACACCATCATCAAGTTGCAACATTTTGAAGACCTTTCTACAATGATCACGGTGGGGGATGAATTTATGAAGAAGCTTTGCACAGGTAAGCCCCCATTTCACTTCACACTCTAGGTCAGCAGTCACAAGCTGGTGTTCCGTGACAAAATTTTGGTGATCCGCAGACAAATTATTTGCATTCTTTATATTGCACTAAATCAGGGGTCCTCAAACTACGGCCCCTGGGCCATATATGTGCAATGAACACTTGTGTTGCTGCAGAGAGTCTCCCCCTTTGGGGTCTTTTTGTGTGGGTTGGAGGGGGGCAGAAATTCCCACTTGGGGTCTGCTTCAGTCTCCTGGTGAGGGGCTTTGGGCGAAGGCTGGAGGGAAGTCCTGTTGGTGGCAAAGAGTCGGAGGGCCTCGTTCCAGTGGGACTGCATCATGGCCTGGAACTGGCTGATCATCTCAGGCCATTGAGCCTCCAGGCGCTAGTACCTGGCCTTACACTCCCTCAGGTCTTCCCTCTGGTTGGAAAGCCTCTGCTGATAGTCCTCAGTGAGGTTCTCCTGCTGAGCCTCCTTCTTGGTCAGATCCAATTTGAACTGAGCCAGCTTTTTTGCCAACCCTTTCTCATGGTGGCTGCTTAGCTCCAACAACTGCTTCCTGTTGGGGCCCTAAGCAATCTGGGTGGGCAGGCGAGGAGTGACTGGTAGGGGAGGAGCGAGTCGAGGCTGGTGAGGCACCCCTTGATGTGAGTAACATCGACTTGGCCACACCCACCCAGTCACATGACCACCTAGCCACTCCCACCATTCATTAGGCAGATTATGTTAGGGGTCCGCAGGATTTAAAATTATGAATTTAGTGGTCCCTGAGATCTGAAAGGTTAGTGAACCCTGCTCTAGATAAGCTCTCATTTTTTAAAAAGAAAAACATTTTTTAAAAAGTACAGCTATTGAATCTTTTATTTCTTACAGTTTTAAAAGAAAGTTCTATTTTCATATTTTGAGATGACAGCTGATGTCTCTGAGCAAATTGGCACTTCAGAATACCCTGCTTTAAAAATATTTCCCCATGTAAAAAATGGCGAAGAGAGAATCTTATTAAAAGGAATCAAAAACTGTGACCCAGGATGTGATAGGATTTCTCAGTTCATTAGTTAATTGTTCAGTGTGAATGTTGACACAGGCTTAAAAGAGGAATGTGTTAAGTCTCAGTAATCATAATTATTTGCAGAGATGGAAAATCATCCTCTTTATAATGGAAGCAAACACTATCCCCACAAATCAGATACAGGCTTCTGAATATGAAAATACTTTTTTAAAAAATCACCTATTTTCCAAAACCTATTCTCCAAAGCACCTGAAGGCAGAACAAGAAACAGTGGATGGAAACTAATCAAGGAAACAACCAACTTAGAACTAACTAAGTAGAAGTTCTTAAGAAGTTTCCTAAGAATTAGAACAATTAATCAGTGGAACAGTTTGCCTCCAGAAGTTGTGGGTGCTCCAGCACTGAAGGTTTTTAAGAAGAAATTTGTTAGAAATTCTGTTTATATAGAGTACCACAGAGCAAACAGAAAGTGTGATTTTTATCTCAAGTTTTATGATGATATCTTACAAATCGTCTTTGGATGGCTTACTTTTCAGAGGCCGCTCAGGAGTGCATAGATGAAGAGGGCAATATCAGAGCAGTAAGTATGTCCTTCACACATTCTGTGAGCTTTAGAGACATCATCTGTTATGGATAGCCAATTCACAAAGTTGGAGGGAACTGGTTTGGGCAGGAAATCTGAGGCTGAAGATGCTTCCATCATCTGGCGTTCCTATGAGTTAGCCTGCTTGGGTCCTTTCCTTCAAGTTGAAGTTGGAATTGATGGTCACCATGACTATCCCGGAGCTGCTTTTCCAAGAGACAACTGGACTTTCTGGTTTTTCTTTGAGGATGCTTCACTTCTTATCCAAGAAGCTTCTGGATGGTGGGGAAATGGAAGGATTTATATTCCTTGCAGACAGCTGGTCATTTGCATCCTTTTAGAGGGTGGTTGAAGCACTTGGAGGTTTGTCTGTGTGTGGATGTCTGGATCACCTGAGTGGTTCCTGTAGTCTGCAATTTTCCCTCTGGAAATCCATTCCTATTCCCACACCATTCCAAAGGTATTCATCCCAAATTGCATAGTTAAAACTCTGTAGAGATTCTCAGTCATGGTTGTCCCAAAGGTACTTCTTCAGTGCTGACTGGATGGTGGAGAAAAGAAAGATTTATTATTCCTTGCAGATTGCTGGTCCTTTGAATCCTTTTAGAGGGTCGGTGAGGCCACTTGGAGGTTTATCTGTGTCCTCAGGGTCACCTGAATGGTGCTCCTGGTTCCTGTAGTCTGCAGTTTCTCCTCTGGAAATCCATTCCTATTCGCCCACCATTTCAAGGGTGTTCATCCCAAATTGCATAGCTAAAAGTCTGTAGAGATTCTCAGTCATCCAGAGATAAACCTCCAAGTGGCCTCAATGACCCTCTAAAAGGATGCAAATGACCAGCTGTCTGCAAGGAGTATAAATCCTTCCATTCCCCACCAACCACTCAGAGCTGAAGAAGCTTCTTGGATGAGATGTGAAACGTCTTCAAAGAAAAACCAGAAAGTCCAGTTGCCTCTTGAAAAAGCACCATTCAGACAACCATGACCTGGATGACTGAGAATCTCCATAGACATTCACCCTGAGTGTGTTTGCGGCTTTCTGTCTATAGGGGGAAGCCTTGCATTGTCGGTTTTGTTGGATTGCTGGAGCCCTTGGCTCATTCAAGACGTTTTCTCAATTCTTTCCCATCGACAAATTTGCCTATTTTCCCCTATAAAGATCTTAAACGATTTGGCATCTCATCAACGGAGCGCACGCTAATGAAAGCAACACAGAATCTCTTCTGCCAAGCTCATGCGTGAAGCCTTTTTTTAAAAGTCCCTTTATTTCTATCGGGCTGAGGAATCCGTGGAACTAAATTCTTCCATCTCGGCCAAGAGCAACTGAGCCACTTTTTATTACTGGGGGGAAAAAATACACCAATATAATTTTCTTCAGTTTCTTTGGGTGGGCAACGTGGGGATTTGTATTGTGCACTTGACTGCATGAAGATCCTTCTTCTTGTTTGGTCTCTTAAGTCCTGTGTCCTCTTTTCAGCTCTGTGGACCATACCATGCCAGGCCATCCTGGCTTCCACTGTCTCCCAGAGTTTGCTAAAATGCATTGTCATTGTTTCAATAACCATCTCATCCATTACCGTCTCCTTCTCTTTTTGCCTTCCATCTTTCCCAACAACAGGGGCCTTTTCCAAGCAGTCTTCTCTTCTCATTAGGTAGCCAAAGTATCATCATCCTCTTTTAATGACCCATAATCCCTCAGGAGCTGGAGTCTGGCCAAGTGAATGGAGCAAAGTATTTACTGGCCGAATGCTCTTCCTGTTGCCAGTACGGAGTTCTATTCGGCAGATATATTCTCATTGTGCCCAGAGAGAGAGAAATATCTGCCTCTACCTAGGATTGAACTCACAGCCTCCTGGTTGTGAGGTGAGAACTCCACCTCGAGGCCACCGCACCACCTCTTTGAGCTTCAATATCTGTCCTTCCAAAGGGTTGATTTCCTGTAGGGTTGACCAATGTGGTCTCCTTGCCTTCTCTCGAGATTTTTCTCCAGCGTTACTGTTCGAAAGCATCAATTCTTTGACACTCGTCCTTCCTTACAGTCCACTGTTTAGAGTCTTTTGAGGTTGTCCATAGAGTTTTCTTGGTAAGGATCCTAGAGTGGGTTGCCTTTTCCTTCTCTAGTGGACCATCCGTTTTTCTAAACTTTCCACTACAGGAGTGGCCAAAATTGTGGAAACCTTTTGAGAAAAGTATATAGAGTTGCACACACTGGGAACAGGCTCCAGCTGTTCGCCTGCCTCACTCATGTCTGACTCCGAAGGCAGCTGATAACTGGCATACGTCTCTGCCCCCCCTCTCTGCTTTTGACACAGAACCCTCATCAGAGCCTTCCCCAGACTCCAGGATTGGCCCAGGTTCCTCCCCAACCTCTTCACTGTCCGAATCTGCTGCCAGCTTCACTGGCTGCTGGTGGGCCACAACAGTCCCTTACTAATGTCAGTTTTTCTTTTCCAGAATTGATGGGTGTGTGCGCGCACACACACATATGGAAGGTATGCCAACCAGCGTAACATTAAGCATTCTTCTCGCCCATCAAACTGATTCCACATGGTCATTGTTCAGCAATCTTAGCATAATGAATCAAAGTACAATATTAAAACCCCAGGGATTCCTGGGAGAAGGGATGATCCCACTGAAATCAGTGGAAAATAAACTCACTTCGACTGGTTTAGGTCCAGAATTTCTATATACCAATTTGGAACGTTTCCAGTTGCATAGATGGCTAGAAATTCTCAGGAATAGCCATGCTGGCTATGAATGAAAGGCTAGGCACTAGGAAGGGACCCAAATTTGAGGAAAGCAATTCCGCACCGTTAAATCTTTTTCCAGGCGAAAATAATGCTGAATTTTGTTACTGTCTTTTGTTGATGTCTTTCTTCTCCCACGGACGTTCAGATCAGGACTGTCCAACTTTGGCAACTTTAAGACTTTTGGACTTTGGTTCCCAGAATTCCCCAGCTAACATGACGGGCTAAGGAATTCTGGGAGTTGAAGTCCATAAATCCTCAAGTTCCCAAGGTGAGATATTAGTGGTGGTTTTCACATTATGTTACCACTGGTTTGCCGCTACTGTGCCCGCTCGTTTTCCTTGCCTTCCACGCATGCATTTTGCTTATCCATGTGCCCGGCCTCAAAAACATGCCTCAATAGGACAGCATAGAGCCAGGGTGGGTGGGTCAGCCCACCAGCGATTTCCGCTACCAATTTGGGCAAACAGGTCCGAACCGTCTGAATACCACTTCTGTTAGACATCCCTGCTTTAGATTATAAATCACAGTTTGGTGCCCATTGAACAGAGACCACCGAAGAAATACACCTTGAGGATTTTCTTAACCTCAGATCCTATTTTTAACTTTGCCGCGTCCTTTTGTGCAGCCTGGTGATAAGTGGCAGTTGCTGGATGAGTGTTATAGTGTGACCTGCTTACAAGGCGGCCACACAGAACTGAAAAGCCACCGACATCCATGCGAGAGGATGGCCAAGCCGACGTGCCACAACAATTTCCCTGCTGTTAAAGTAGAGGAAACCTGCGGCTGCCGTTGGGTGTGTCCTTGTGAGTAGTTTTTTTTATACCTATATTTTTTTCTGTAAAATCTCACCAAGGGAGAATTAACAACTCAGAGAAAGGGCTTCGGCTGATTAGAATATAGAATACCAAGTAACATCATCCAGGAAATGACCATCTAACTGAACATTGAAGATACCTATCCTTGGCAGAAAGGAAGAAAGGTAGGAAGGAAGGGAAAGAAAGAATGAAAGGAAGGAAGGAAAGAAAGAGAGAGAGAGGAAAGAGAGAAAGAAAAAGAATGAAAGTAAAACAGAAAGGGAAGGAAGGAAGGAAGGAAGGAAGGAAGGAAAGGAAGGAAGAAAAGAAAGAAAGAAAGAGAAAGAAAGAAAGAAAGAAAAAGAAAGAAAGAAAGAAAGAGAAAGAAAGAAAGAAAGAGAAAGAATGAAGGAAGGAAAGACAGAAAGGGAAGGAAGGAGGGAAGGAAGGAAGGAAGGAAGGAAGGAAAGAAAGAAAGAAAGAAAGAAAGAAAGAAAGAAAGAACCACCAACCCCAAATAAAGGATAATGTTGCCAATATTGTTTGGGGGAAGGAAAGGAGGGGAAAGAATCTCATTCTTTATTAGAAAGAGGCAACTAAATATAGAACCTCATAAAGTCATCTTTTTTGGTTATTTGAATCTAAAACTTACTGCAAACTCACATAGCTGCATAATGTTCTACTGCATCTCTGAATTTACAATCCACATGTGTCACAGCCCTTAGCACACTTTGGAGACATCACTGACCCAGAATCTGTAGGGAAGGACCGGCAGAACCTGGGGGCGGAGTTAAAAGAGGTATCAGCCCAGAATCCCTATGTAGCCACAAGCGAACTAACTCCAACCTCCCTTGAAATTCCATTAGTCCTTATCTTACTCTAACCAGGGCCTAACTGTTACTTGAGAAGATTCTTGTGCATTGAGTGTAGCAGGGGTGTCAACCTCAAGGCCTGGGGCCTGGATCTGTCCTGCAAGGTGCTTAGATCTGGCCCTCAGGGCTGCCCTGAAAACAGCAAAGAACTGGCCCGCGGTGCTTCTGCCAGAAAAAAAAAGCTCAATTTTTGCTGGCAGAGAGTTGCAGGAGGCTGTTGCAGCTGAAAATGGAGCTTGAGAATCTGTTTTTGCTGGTTGAGTGCTCAGGCCCCCATAGTTGCCCCCAACACGAGTGACATCAAGCTGGCCACATTCACCTTGGCCACGCCGACCCTGGCCCTCCAAGGTCAAACACAACCCTGATACGACCCACAATGAAATGTAGCTTCATACCCCTGGACTATAGCAATAAATCCGTTTAATTGGACCTTCATGTGGAGCAGCGGTGGGTTCCGGCTGCTACGGTGCATGCACAATACTAAAAAAAATGCTTCTGTGCATGCACAGAAGCAAAAGACAAGATGGTGGCACCTGTGGCGCTGCCGAGAGAACCAGTTTGGGGGCGGATGGCAGGCCGAGTTACTACCTACTTGGCCAAACTTGGCCGAACCGGTTGGAACTCACCTCTGATGTGGAGACGCCTGAGAGAACCTCTTACCTGCACTTCAGATTTTCATTCTGCCGTGGGAAAATTTCAGGATTCCATAAATCTTTCCAAAAGTTGAGGGCCTTCAAAGTATTTTGCCCTTGGATCTTCCACAAGATCCTGAAGTCCAACTGCCTCAACGGATGGATTTCTCCGGTTAAGAGATCAGGGTTGAAATTTTCCTCTCCACTTCCTGCTCTTGATATGCAAATGCGGAGCTTGTAAATTAGTACAAGGGGACAAATATAGAGTGTCTTCTGGCAATCACGCGGCGTGGAACTCTTGTGTTCTTGGAAGCAAAGAATTATGAGACAAAAGCCCCACGTTGAGCAACGGTACTTGACAAACAGGCTTCACCATCAAGTGATTTACTGCCAAGGATGTGATTTTGTATTCATTGAGACAGAAACAAGAAAAAAAGGTCACATAAATAAGTTGGTTTCAAGATGATAGAAACTCCTTGGCCAGCTGTCGAGGATACACATATCCTCACACATATACACACTAGCACATATGTGTGACAAGATTTAGCAATAGCAATTAGACTTATATACCGCTTCATAGGGCTTTCAGCCCTCTCTAAGCGGTTTACAGAGTCAGCATATTGCCACCAACAACAATCCGGGTCCTCATTTNTTCTTCTTTTTCCTTGAAGATGATTCACTTCTCATCCAGGAACAGAGACTTTGTATTCATGATGACCTCTATTAATGAATACCAAGTATCCCCTGAACCTGGCTTTCTAGGAGCTTCTTTATTACTCACTGGGCTTATGCAAATACCATCATGAAATGTCCCTCTTTATAAGCAGGGTCCTCATTTTACATCTTTATATTTTCTTCAAACCGTTATATGTCAGACCAGAGAAAACCCATTTTAAAAGATACTATGAATTTCTCCTTGTTTTTCTTTTCTCTTCTAGACATGACAAAATGTGAGTACGTAATTTTAGGAGAAATAGCTATGTTATTTTTGTTTTTTAGATGCATGTGAATCCTGATCACTTCTTGTCTCTTATTTTTTTAGGGTACTTATCTGAGGTTCAACTTGCATCATTGGTGCAAGGAACTATAAGACCAGGGCAAATTCACTCTTTGGTCTGTAAAGTTACTGGTGTCTCCATCACTAGTAGTAGCTATGCTTGGAGCTGGTTCCGTCTGCCTCCAAGGAAAGCCTTAGAATGGATAGCCAGAATCTACCACTATGATGTGAGAAAGTGGTACTCATCTTCTCTTCAAAGCCGCACTACCACTGCTTCAGACAACATCAAGAATGAAAATGAAAAGAATCAGAAATCATAGGAAAAGGAAAGTGTCTGTTGTGTCCACGGAACCAATGACAATAAAGGCTGGACCACTTTCACTATCTGAAGGTTCACTCAAAAAGAAGGGATGTTCACACCAATGAATTAAAAATCAACAATGAATGAATGAGATGTCTATATAAGGGACCAGGCACGGACCAGGCTGTCCAATGACATGGTTAGTTCTCTTCCACTAGTGGTCTTCTCTGGACATCCATCAGCGGAAGGAGAGTAGATCTCACACCAGATACAGAGCTGGGCTGTTTTATCTTTAAGTTCACTTTCAGCTCTGAGGTTTAGATCAGAATTTCATGATACAATTTTCTTCTTTCTCACTTCTCACAGCAGAGGCCCATGCTTTACCTAACCCCCCTTCATAAAATTTGAATCGTAGAGAAAATGCAGTGAAAGAAATACTCTGGATTTAAACAGCCCCAAACATAAGACCCTTTCTCTGAAGTTAAACTAAAAGTGATCTTTGATCTTGGAAATAGGTGAAAATGTCATATTCAGGTCTTAGTTTCTAAGGTCAATGGATGAGCCAATGGAAATAGCTCTTGGTTAATAGGATTAGCCAAGAAACACTAACTCTAACCTCTTTAAAGGTTAGAGGATAATCAGAGCTGCAGGAAAAAGCAATTACTGGCATCCTGCCTTCCGTTGAGGACCTGTACACTGCATGAGTCAAACAGAGGGCCATGAAAATATTTACAGACCCCTCACATCCTGGACATAAATGGTTTCAACTCCTACCTTGAAAACAACACTATAGAGCACTGAACATCAAGCGAACTAGACACAAGAACAGTTTTTCCCCGAATGCCATCACTCTGCTAAACAAATAATTCCCTCAACACTGTCAAACTATTCACTAAGGCTGTATTACTATTGCTATTAGTCTTCTCACGGTTCCTATCACCCATCTCCTCCCACTTATGACTGCAGGACTGTAACTTTGTTGTTTGTATGCTTACAATTTATATTGAGATTGTTTCCTGATTATTTGTACCCTATGACTATCATTAAGTGTTGTNCATGAATTCCTTGCTGCTTTTCTTTTCGCTGCTAGCCATGACAAAATGTAAGAACACCATTTTAGAGAAAGCAACTCTGACATTATTTTTTCCCAAGGTGCTTTTGAATCCTTATTATTTTTTCCTCTTTTACTTCCTTAGGGGCACTTTCTGATGTGCAACTTGTATCGTCGGGGCCAGGAACTGTAAGATCAGGGCAAAATCTCTATTTGGTCTGTAAAGTGACTGGTGTCCCACTCGTTGGTGGGGGCAATGCTTGGCACTGGGTCCGTTGGCCTCCAGGGAAAGGCTTGGAATGGATTGCCAGAAGTTACCCCCGTAACAGGGAAAAATTGTACTCCTCTTCTCTCAGAAGCCACTCCACCATTGCTTTAGACAACACCAAGAATGAATATTCCCTTCAGTTGAACTCCATGTCAGCTGCTGACACTGCCGTGTATTATTGTGCTGTATAGGCACAATGACTGATTTTGCCTGAACTTCTGTGCAAAAACAGGAAACTGATTCTAACAGGGCATTTTCTTTTCCCTGCAGCAAACCTGCATGGAAACCTTCCATGCAGCAAACCTTCAGACCATGAAAGCCTTTGAATTCTTGGAGTAACGTCTCCCAGAAGAACATTTTTTTTAAAAAAAAATGTGCTCAGTCATTAAAATCATTTGAATTTTTGGAGGACTATCTCTCCAAAACATTCATTACTGGAGAGACATGAGAACAAGTCCAGCTAATGAATAGGCAGAACAACTAAGTCAACCAATGGGAGCTTAAACAGACCTGAGTCTGTGCAGAGAATTGAAACAGAAACTTAAGAACTCTACTGCTCTGATAAGTAAACTAGCAGTCTCTCTGGGCTTGTCCGCTGAAATGAAACTAACTTCTTTTGTTTGCCTGTAACTCTCCTGCCTTGTGTTTACTTGGAAGAAACACCCGTTGTTATTGTACATTTATTCACCTATTCCTATGTCTATAAAGAAGTTAATGAATCCAGCTGAATCACTTATCTGTGTGTGCTTTCTGGATTTGAATTTAAGCAGCAAACTCTGACAAGTGCACTCAGATCTGGAAAGTCACCTTGAGACAAGAGCAAAACTGATTCTACCCAATGGAGCCATCTGACTGAATCCACTCCAGTTAATTGATATGAATGTTATA